GCTTCCATGAGCTGTGCTCAGGAGCTGAGAACCAAGACCTGAGAGTGAACTCGCCAAGGTAAAGGAATGGGCGAGAATCGTGGTGCTGGGCCAAGATCTAAGTTCTAGAGAGGACACTTGTCACTGCCGCCTCTAGGAGTGGAGGGGAGGGGCAAAGTCACTTACCCAGATGAGGCCTGCGTGGGAATGAAGAAGGGCGCTGCGTGAATGGAGGAAGGTGTGTGGTCATTGTCCTGGGCCCTCGGGCCAGGGTCCCAAAGCAGCTCCGATCCCCGGAGGGGAGAGCAAAGCTGGTGGGAGAACATGATGGGGTCACTGGCATCAGTGAAGACAAGTGCCCAGGACTAGTCACACACACGCCTGGGCTAAGAAGCGGCTTGTGTCAGGAGCCTGACAGGCTGCTCTGCGAAGGAGAGGGACGCAGCAGCAAGGAGGGAGAGTGGGCATTGTGACTGGGCAGAAAAGGGAGGGGGTCTTGAATGATTGAATGGGCTCCTGGTGACTGGAAGCATCCCAGACAGTAGGGTCCACCTCAGAAGGAGGCAATGGGAAGGGCACTGGCAGGTGGAATCGGGGACGGTCCTCAGGTCAGGGTGAGGGTCAGGGGAGCGGCAGGGGGTCTGGATGGAAGTGAATATGAGGGAAGGAGGAAAGCATAGGCCCCAACTTTGTGAGGATGTCCCTTCCCATAAGGGGAACAGGGCACTGTGGAGTGACCAAAAAGGAGAGGGTAAAAACTAGAGAGCCCAAGGCACAAACAAGGCCAGGTGTCTGTAAGGGTTGCTAGTCGGCCCCAGAACTCCTTGAGGACTGAACATGTAGCCCTGGTGTCCAGGAGGAAGGAGACAGGCCCGCACAGCTACCCTGGGTTCCCGTGGAGGGATGGCAGTGTCCGGTGACGGGGACCCGGGCCCCCTTGGTTCTCTGTAGCCAGTCCTGAGAGTTGGAAAGGAGAGCCAGAAGAGCTGGGTGGCCAGGGGCCATTATGGACTCAGGGACAATCAATGACCCAGGGCCCCCCGATGGTTCTTAGGATAAGGGCCCAGAAGCTTGTGAGGCTTAGCACATGTGCGAGCCCAGGGACCCATCTGACCACATTTAAAACAGGGTCCAGGCAGTCCCAAGGGACCTTCCCAGGGCCAGTGGAACCAGGGACAGATGCTGAGGCTGGACGGACAGCTTGAGCGAGCATCTGATATTTCTGCTTCCAGGCCTTCTGGTCTCTCCCATTACACACCTTAAAGGCCACACCCAGAACCCCAGCTCGGGGAGTTAGGGGTCCCCTCTCGAGGCACCTTAGTTTGGCCTTAATATTGGGGAAACTCTGGGAGAAAAAGTAGGTCGTGAGTAGTGGTCTCCCATCTGGAGTGTCAGGAGGCAGATTAGTGTACTGTGACAAAGCCTGGGTCAGGGGTCTCACAATGCTGACGGGTTTCATTCTTAACTTGGAGGACTCCCTGGAGACTTTCATAATTGATAGCCTTATGGGCCGCCTTTCTAAGTCCTGCCATGAGGCAAGTAATGAGTTGGTTTCTACTAGTTACTCCTCCAGGTGGATTATAATCCCAGATGGGGTCCCGATCAGGGACCACTTCAGTGCCCATCGGATGGGCAGGGGAGGGCTGATGTACCTCATCAGCATAATTTCTATCTTGCTCCCAAACTCTCCTGTGCTCCTCAGGCAGGAGGGTGTTAGGCAAGGTCATATGGACATCGTGGGAGGTTAAATCATATGATTGGGTCAGATATTGGAACTCTGTGATATATGTGGTGGGGCTTGAAGTATAGGGTCCAGGCCACTTTTCTGTCTGTGAAAGATGTGACAAAGAGAAAGGCACATGAACCGGATGACAGCATCTACCCCAGCCAGCTTGCATAGAGGGCACAGAGATGCGGGTTGGGCAGTGGCAGCCCATGAGTGAGTACCAAGAGGAAAGGATGGAGGGGCCGAGGGGACAATTGCTGCAGTGGCTCCATCAGAAAGAGGGTTGTGCCATGGTGAGGGCTCATCTGCTAGGTTGAAGGAGGAGGTGTCCTTGGTAGGATTTTCTGTCCCTTTGGAGGCAGGCGTAGGGTAGGTGAGAGCTAACAGGACTTGTGCGTGAGGACAAGAGTTGCAGAGAGAGGGCTTAGAACACAGAAAGGAGAAGGCCTGAATGTATGATATCTCTTTCCATTTTCCTGAATGCTCACAATAGTTGAAAAGATCCCTGATAATATTGGGATCTAGAGTGCCATTAAGCAGCCATTTAGAGTCATTATCCACAAGATATTGAGGCCACATCTGATTGCACAAGTGGATAAGTTTTTTGGGGGGGTTAGGTCCAGGGTGAGAGAGAGCTCAAAACCCAGGACCCAAATAAAAGATGACCTATAGACTCGGTTGACAGTAGGGATCAGCTGTAGCTGTGAAGCTGTGGCTAGGGGTGCCCCAGACCACACAGTAACCCTGGGAGTGCCGAATGTTTCAAGAATCCTTTAGGTTAACTGGAGACAGCTGTCTTATGTGCAATGTCCAGTGGTGGGTGCAGAGAGGTCATTTAGCAGAATGGAGGACCTGGTCCCATGATGGAATTCAAACTGGGGCCTAGGGATGCTTAGTGACCTCAAAGAGGGGAGTGGGCACATTGGGGAACCCAATTCTGGGTTTCGGTACCAATGTCAGGAAAGTGAGGAACTGGGAGACAGGCGAGCAAGAAATGAAAGCAGAGACCAGGCAGAGACACACACGAGAGTTTATTTATCAGAGCCATCTCTCCATAAATAAGTAAATAAAAGCCATCTCTCCATAGATGGAGAGAGGCAAAACAGGCTTGGGTTTGGGACTTTTATGGGGCAGGCTCAGGGATTAGAGCCAGGCCAGTCCTCATGCCAGTGGTGAAGGGTGGGGTTGCTATGAGGGAGAGGTGAGCCTTTCTCAGAAAAGCCCTTGGGTGGGAAAGTAAAATTCTTCTTAAAAGGGGGGCTGTCATTTAAGATGGCCTTCCAGATGCTTACCAAGGACCTTACATAATGGAAAAAAAAAAAAGCTTCTTCAAAACTGTTTTTGGAATTATGGAATTAGAAACTCCAGACTGAGCTGCATAAATGCTTAGAGCACCTGGGCTCTGACCTCGGAGGCCCATGAGAAGGAATCTTGAGTGCTGTCAGGGAACCACTTCTCTTTCCATGTAGTCTTATGCTCACTTGTTCTGCTTTCTTTCCCCTTTAAAGCTTAGAGCAGGACCCTGAAGGGCAGAGACCAGGACCCTGCCTTCCCTGACCCACCTGCTGTCAGGCTGTGGTTACCTGGGTGATGGAGTGGTTGCACAGGGAATGTCAGAGGCTTGGCAATAGGGCTGGTGGCCCGTGGCAGGCTGAGAAATCACCTGGCCCTCACAGTGGAAGGCAGTGGCCACCACAGGAATAAGGTCAGTCATAAAAGAGGTGAGCCCTTGGGGCCAGGAGAATGGAAGCAAACTGAAGCCCAGTGGCCATTTCAGAGGAACAAGAGGACTGTGTTGAGCACTCCAGCTGCTGGTGAAACCATACGGCCAGGCAGCACCTCAGTAAGTCCAGAGCTCAGATGTCACACAGTCCTAGAAGATGGGGGAAACAGCAGATTGGAAGGACACCAAAGTGCCAACGAACAGGTGAATGTGGGCAGGAAGCACTGGCATGACTTCCAACTAGCTTTAAGAATAGTGGCTCATTTTATGTTCTGAAGGAGCCGCCGTCTGTTAACCTACTGAATGACTAGTTCACACTCAATGCTCACTGAATATGGAGCTGATTTAAAGTCTTTTCCAGCGTCACCATGTAGGAACTGGAAACCACAGCTGCCAGTCCTGGTGTCAGACAGTGGGCCTCTGAGCCAGGGCTGAGGATGAATTTACAATCCAGACAGCTGTGCAGGGCCAGTGAGCAGGCCAGCCATCAAGAGGCCCGGTGTTTCCCACCCTTGCTGCCATAGCTGTCCTCCTCTCTGAGCTGAACTGTGACATGACCACCTCTACCAGCACTCTTACAAGCCATACAAGCCAGACTTCATAAATCCATCTTATGAGGAATATGAGAAGCAAAACAAGACTTTAGCACGGATTTTCAAGCCTCGTCAATGCTGAAGCCATGAGACTGGTCACCATCGCTTAAAATCTCACGGAGCGGGGAAAGGAGCCAGAAGGTTGAACTGATTAAAATTCCTGCACAATTCCTCTGTCGCCTCCGCAGTGTTCCCTTATGAGTCTTACCTAGTGGCGCATCAGCAAGGAATGTGTCGTAGCTTTAGTTTTCGGTAGCCCAGAAGAAAGCACATTTTGAAAAACAAATCCCAGTGCGGACTGTTTTGTAAACGTTGAGTAGCGCACAGGGCAGCGAACTCGATGGGCTGAAGGCCTTCTGCTGACAGCGCGGTGGTCCGGCCTCCAGCCAGCCGGGGGCAGGCGTCTCCCGGGGGCGCAGACTCCGCGCGGCTGAGGCTCCGGGCCGGGGCGCCATCCGTGTCCCGCACACCGGGTGCAGGCGCCGCTGCAGCAGCCCCACGCAGAAGCCCGGCAGGGCCGCCCCAGGCCGCAGAGCGCGGGCGCGGCGCCGCCTGCGGGGGAAGCTCGGCCGGCCTGTGCGCCCGCCCGGCCCCGGGCTCCGCCGGGCAACGCCACCGAGGCCAGGCGTGCAGAGGGGTGGGACGCCGGCGGGGAGAACCCGCGAAAGCCGGGAAAGCGCGAGGAGAAGAGCAAGAAGGGCGCCAGCCCATCGCCACCCATCCCGCCGCCCGGCGACTCTGGGTGGCCCGCCCCTCCCCAGGTCCCGGTCCCGACCGCCAGGCGGCACGCACCCAGGTCTGGCGGCTCTCGGCGGCCCCGCCCCGCCCCAGGTCCCCGCCCTGACCGCCGGGCCGCCTCGCCCCGACTGCGGTCGTGCGGCTCTCGGTGGCCCCGCCCGCCACATGGCCCCGCCCTCGTGGCTCCGCCCCCGGGCCCTGCGCGTGCGCGTTGGGGAGCGCTGGTCCAGCCCCGCGACGCTGAGCCGCGGGTCTGACGTGGCAGTCCAGCTCCGCGCGGCTCGGGCGCAGGGAGTGGAGACTCCAACAGGAAAGGCGCCGGCAAGCGGTCGCCGGCACGAGAAGCCGAGCTTCAGGTACTGCCCTCGGCCCAAGCTCGCGGGCGGCGGGAGGGACCCCCGCTTAGCTTGGTGGTCCTCAGGCAGGTTGGAGGCCAGGAGAGGAACCGCCCAGCCCGGTGGTCCTCAGTTGGGGGACTGGGGAGGGACGCATCCTGCCGGTCCTCAGTCAGGTTGGAGGCCAGAGGAATGACCCGCTCATCGCTATGGCCCTCAGTAAGACAGGGGCCAGGGGAAGGACCCGCTCAGCCGGTGGCCCTCAGTAAGACAGGGGCCAGGGGAAGGACCCGCTCAGCCGGTGGCCCTCAGTAAGACAGGGGCCTGGGGAAGGACCCGCTCAGCCGGTGGCCCTCCGACAGATTGGGGGCGGGGGGACACCCACTGCCCGCGGTCCCCCGGCAGGTTAGAAATGATGGCGGGGCACAGGTGTCCTTGGTCCTCAGGCAAGTTAGAGATGATGGGGAGAGATCTGCTCAGCCTGAGGGTCCTCCGGCCGGGTGTAGACACTGGGGAGGGATAGGAGGGACCTATACTCCCTGGACTTCTGTGCAGACTGGGAGGGGCGCTCTCCGCCTGTGGTCTTCAGGCTGGTTGGAGGCCAGCAGAGGCAGGGGGCGGGCACTTCACCTGTCCCTCCGTACCTTGGACGAGGAAGCTGCCTGGTGAGTCCTGTGGCCATGTCCTCCAGTGTGATCGCTGGACGTTCTCTTCCCGTATTAACTTAGTCTACTCCTTCTTGGAGGAAGAACGCGTTAGAGGTGTTCTTAGTGGAAATGGCAACTGTATCCTTGAGCTTCACGAAGTCTGGATGGCAACACGTCCAAGTCCCGATCTTGTTCCAGGGTGAGAGATGCACACGGCTAGGCAGGGGGCTGGGGTCTCTCCGGGTTGCAGCTGCCCAGGTTTTGACCCCAAGCCATCTGTGCCAGGTGGCTTTCTGCCACGTCGCCACTTGAAGCTGAGTCAGGTTTCTGGACTCTGTGGGGTGCGAGGAAGTTTGACGTGGCAAGGGCGGGGAGGAAGCAATTCCTCCCAGGGCCAGCTGAGGCTGGGGTTCCACGCTCTCCAGAGAACACCCCTGTCCCCTTTTCTCCCCAGCTGGGGGCTACTGGAGGGTGTATCCAGCCACTTGCTTCCTACAGTCTGGGAAGGAAGCCCAGCCTGCCACGTCTCTCTCCACTGTGTGGGAGGAGGGGAAAGAGCCGTGGTCCACAAAGCTGACCAGAGACCTGTTGCCTCTCTCTTTCTGCCAGTCCAAGAACAAAGCCATCTCATATTTTTTACTTGTTTGCTTTGATTTTACAAACTTATATTTTAACCTGAAAATGCAACCAAATCACCAACTTTGGGCTTCAGATTTTAAATTCGAATGTCATTCCTGGACATAGACAGATTCCAAGTCTTAGCAGGTATCACCAACCTTTACCTTAAAAGGCACTGAATAAGAGCAAAAGGAACAACGTGCCCATGCTGGGTACAGAGACTGGAGAGAAACTGCAGAGCCAGGGTTGTGCATCGCAAAAGGGGGGGGGGGCGGGAGGGTCTTTTCTAAAAGAGCAGAGGCTGGTACCTCTCATACCATGTCATACAGCTAAGTATTAAAGACATGGATTGAAAACTCACTTTTTGGGGGCAGGATTTAGAACACTTTCTGCCTTGTTATAAAATTCTTTTTGAAAATAGTCCTATGAACTGTCTCTTATGTGAAAACCTGGGAAAATGAAAAATTTAAAGCAAACCAATGTTGCGGTTCTGAGAGACTTGAGATGGTTCTGATACATTTGGGAGTGTTTACGCCTACACACACATGAAATTACACTTTTTTTCTTACAGATGCTATGTTCTTAGAAGTGTGATATCATTTAAATCAGAAAGAAATTCTGTCTTCTACTGAGAAACCACTGGTAACTTTGAAATGGTATAGCTGCCTCTCAGCTTGGCCAAATCATGACTCACAAAATAAGGCCATGACCAACTTTATCTTCTGCTGTATTTGCTGGGCTGACTTCTCTTTGTCAGAACTACCAGGTTATAATTGCTGGTTAGAAGAGCACTATACAGATTTGAGTTAAAAAGCCTGTGGCTACAGCCGGCTGGCAGCCAGTGGTTGGCCAGTTGCACGAGATGGTGCTGCCCTGTGGCTATGGAAACCAGCCCTTGAGAGAGGCTGCCAGACACCGAAGGCCTCCGCAGCTGCGGATGTTTCCAGGTGTTGTGCCTGAGAATTGGCCCACGACTGTTGAAGTGATGCTCCTGAGTTTCAGAGGACTCTGGCTGCCCTTTAGGGTGTGACGTGCCACCTGGTCCTTCTGCCTAAGCTCAAACTGTCACTTATTAGCAGTGTCTGTATTTTGGATATTTAGTAACTAAAACCCTCTGTTGATAAGTGTTTTTCTGTTGCAGTGCTCTTTTCTAGAACTAGCTTGGGAATGATATTTTCACAATGAGCCGACAAGGTTATGTGGCCACACCTCCTTACTCTCAGTCCCAGCCAGGAATCGGCCTTTCTCCTCCTCCTCACGGACACTATGGGGACCCTTCCCATGCCACTTCTCTACCAGGTAAGGCATGTTATTTTGACCTGGATGTGATTATTCAGCCCTCAGGATCAGAAGATAGATGTTCTGAGGAGGGGCTTTGAAAGAGTGGGGGGTCATTATCTGACCCCATGGTTCTGCATTACAGGGTCACGGTGCTGCCCTGTGGCTATGGAAACCAGCCCTTGAGAGAGGCTGCCAGACACCGCAGGCCTCCGCGGCTGCGGATGTTTCCAGGTGTTGTAAAATAAATAAGTAAAATAAAGGTGTTGTGTCCAACTACAACTAAAAAATAAATATTAAAACAAAAATCTGGCCCTGGAAGCTTTCTGTCACTATCTTAATCCTCACGGGACAGTAGGTAGCCACTTATGAGCCCTCTTGCAGCTGAGAAATGAGGTTGGGTAGAGGAGGCTGGCCCAGGTCACAGAGCTAGCACCACTGTGGCCAGGACTTGTGCTCGCCCTGGAGGAAGCTGACGACAGCGCTCCTCCACACCCTGGCATGGCCTGGGATGTCTGCCCTCCCTGTCTGTCCGCAGCCGTCTTCTCCAGGAAGTGCTGCCGGTCCAGGAGCCCTCAGTGCTGGCCTCCTGTTCCGTCCTCTTCTGCAGGTGGCCCCTGCTCCCTGGGGTGGTAGACACTGCCTTGTCTGCTTCGAATCTGACGTTTGAGGGACACTGTCCTGTTCTTCCTGCTGCGCTCTGTTGAGGGGCCCCTCCTCCTCGGCACTTCTCCCTGCCGGTTTCCCTGGGCTGTGGCGCTCGCCTCAGGTGCGCGTGCTGAGGCTGTGTCTGCAGCCGTCTCCTCTCCCAAGCTCCGGGCAGTGCTTTCCGTGGCCTCTGTTTATGCAGCTCGTCAGGCTCATGCCCACAACAGCTCAGGGCTGTCTCATGGAAACCTGTTTTTTCCTGACGTTTCATATCGCGTCTTTGCATCATTTATTTAGTCATTCACACCAAGACTTTGCACTATTAAAAGAATGTCTCCCTTTAAAGCCACCCCCAGTCAACTGATGTCCTGAATCTCTTTGGAGCAGTTGTGAATATTTCCCAACTGCTCCCTCCTTTTCACCCTCCTGCCGCTCTTTCTGTGGGTCTGTCCCTCTGTTGGATGGCTGATGAGCTCTCTTTAACGTTGTTGCCCGTCCAGGGCTGCCTGTCTCCCTACGTCAGCTCCTGAGCTGGAGGAAGTGTGTAGCATGCTGGTCTCATTTGGGCTCTGCGTTGCTTAAAGCCTGGTGTGGTCCCCATGGCTCCTGTTTGTACTTAAGCTCCTTACCCCTAGAACTCTACCCACCTTTTCTTGTTGGCCTTCTGATGGATTCAGACAGCTGAGCTGAGGTTTCATGAAGCATCTGTCCTGCTATAGATCTGGCCAGTAGCACACTTGCTGTTTTCTCATGTCACGTCTCCATTAGTGCCTGTTAGTTCTGTGTGTGTGTTTAATTCTTGTGCTGTGTAACAAATCTAAAGATTTACTGTTAAATCACAATACTTGTGATAAAACAGTGAAAAGGCAGGCCCCACTTCAGTCTTGCGGTATGATGGATCTGGAGGAACTGCACCAAGCACACTGACCTTGGAGCTGGGCAGCAGTCTCACGAGGATGTAGCAGGTGTGGGGCATGCGCTCACAGTCCTGTGGCTGGTGTGCCCACAGGACTGGGGGCAAAGACGTGCCTTGGCAGACAGGGGCGTTGTCGGGTGGAGGTGGCCTGTTGGCTGGGGCCGTGGCCCTGGCCAGGGCCTTTGTTGCCAGGGATGCGCTATGGTGGAAAATGAGCCGTGTCAGGATCTAGGCATGAAGGGCAAGAAGTGCCACCGCATGGTCCAGGTCACAGTCCAATGGGCAGCTTGGTGGAGCTCTGCCTCGCCAGGTGGACAGCTCTGCACAGTCCAGGGTCGGCAGGACTGGGGCAGCTGCTGCTTGCTGGAGCAGGCCCCTCAGGCTTTGCACAGCTGGCTTCTGGGGGCAGCTAACTGTGTGGTGGGCTGGGTCCTGCTTGCTGTGGGAGATTCAGCAGTATCCTGGGCCTCTACCTGCCAGGGGACACTGGGATGTCCTTTGCCCTCCAGGATGTGCCAGACATGGCCTGAGGGGCCTGCTGAGCTTCCTTCCAGGGAAAACCATTCCTGACTGAGGAGCAGTGGCATTCTGCGGGAGGCGGAAAGTCAAGGATCAGCAGGGGCTCAGCGGGACAAGCTTTGCAGTAAGAGTCCCTACAGCAGAAAGCCTCTTTGCCAACTTCAGATGAACTTCTTCCCCAGATTCTCTCAAATGTTGGTTTCAGTGTGTTAGATCCAGAGCCAAATTCAAGCTATGCTTTCTGCAATACTGTGTTGGTTATGGTTCCTGTGCTGATAACTGAATCCCTTGCAGTGGATTTGTTGATGGGCATCTGGAGGCCAGTGGGGATTAGGGAGAGGCCTACCCAGAAGAGTGTGGGTCCCAGAGTAGTACCACTTACACAGTGCCTTTCCCTGGTTACTGCCTTTCTAGCCCAGAAAGACCTTGTGAGACGCCACCCGGCCCAGGAATGTGAGGCTTTGCTGAATTTAGAGTACTTAGCAAACCCAGATCCACAGACAGGATGAAAATGGAATTTGCATGGCTCCAGCTCAGGACACACAGGGGCAAGGTCGCAGGGACTGGACGCAGTGTTGAACAAACCCGCCTGTAGCATTTGCCATCTTAGGAAGCCGCTGGTGTCCCAGCCAGTCTTCCGTGGGCATAGCATGGCTGCTTTCTGCCCATGTGTGCTGCTCCCTTCCTGCCAAGATTCTCCTACTACTGGGTAAAGAATATGATCCTTTGTACCTAATCAATAATCTGGCCAGAGGAAGACTTTGGCTCTGCAGATAACAGTGCTGCTGATTCCCTTTGCCCAGGGTGGAGTACAAATGGCATACAGAACTTTGAAATCTGACACCAACCAAACGGTAACCCTCCTCCAGCCACATCTGAGCCTCCCCACACTGGCCTGTTGCTGGTCCCAACCATACCAGAGTTTGGGGTGGTTGCTAGGCTCTCTGACAGGACTCTTACCAGCCTTTGTATTAACAGACCTTCTACTGATCCACAACGTGGAGCACAACACACCTATACAGTCCACCCTAACTCTGCTTGAAGATAGCTCCTCAATGAGAGAGCTCCTGCCTGTGCCCACCATGCAGCTCAGCAGCCATCCTTAGGTTCCCCCCGTCTCTGCCCAGGAGGGCTCCTGCCTGTCCCCACCATGCAGCTCAGCAGCCACCCCTAGGTTCCCCCCTGTATCTGCCCAGGAGAGCTCCTGCCTGTGCCCACCATGCAGCTCAGCAGCCACCCCTAGGTTCCCCTCTGTCTCTGCCCAGGAGAGCTCCTGCCTGTGCCCACCATG